GCATTTCAGAATAGGAAGAATGGCTTATTTTTCAGAGTGGCAAATAAGGAAAAGAATGAGAGTCTCATGGAGTCTCTGCTTCCAGAGGCTCCCCTGGGAGGCACATTTTTATAGACACCAGACGTCCTCTCCATTCCCAGCCAACTTTCCATGCTGCTGATGGGGGCGTGCCGAGGGCCAGCCCCTCCTCCCCGGAGCCAGCGGCCTGCGTGCGGAGCCTGCCTGGCCAGGGCCCTTCCTCCCCCAGCGAAAGCACCACCTGCCCCCTTGCCCCCAGGCCTGGACCCTGTCTGCCCAGCTTCCCCTGGGGCTGTGGTCTCTTCTGGGACTCTCCGATCATGGTTCATAGACAGTCACCTCATCGTAGGTCACTGTCCTAATTGAATTTCAGGGTAAAGTGCTTATATAGTTAAAAGCCAATGAAGAAAATAGGACTTAAGGCATTGGTTTTGTTTAAAGATTTATTTATTTGAAAGAGGGAGAGGGCAGGGGCGGGGTGGGGGTGCAGAGGGAGAGAGAGAATCTCCAGCAGAACCACCACCCCGCCCCACCCCCTGAGCATGGAGCCTGACATGGGGCTCGATCCCATGACCCTGAGATCATGACCTGAGCCGAAACCAAGAGTCGACGCTTAACCGACAGAGCTGCCCAGATGCCCCAACTTAAGACATTGTTCGAGCAAGTCCGTACCGTTGAGATGAGCACGAAAACATCCTGTCTGACTTTGTCGTTCGTGCGACGTGTGGGTGCTGCAGAGGAGCGGGGCTTGGACTCACGGACACTCTCTGTGAAGCACTGGTATTTGGGGCTGTCCCTTCTCCACCCATCCTCCAACCCTGGGACTCAGGTTTGCACACGTGGTGCCGTCAGTCTTCTGGAGTGCACGCGGGATGTGGCCTGTCTCCGTTGCCACCTGTGCCTTCCAGCTGCAGAGTGGCCACCGCAGGAAGGTCCCCGATGCCCCGCGTGTGGGCGGCTGACCTGAGTGCAGCCCCTTTGGTGCCCTTGTCTGGTGGGCCCCTGGGACCACCCTGAAGCGCAGGCAGAGCCCAAGCTGATGTTGATGCCTGGAATGTCTGGAGAGCTTGAGACATGCTGGGCTGCAGTGTCAAGAGCTTCCTTGTCTGCCCTCCACTCTGCCTCCCTCTCCTGCTTGTCCCAGGGTGCTGGGCAGGAAGCTGTAGAGGGGCCTAGACTTTCAAGCGGGCGGGGAATCTTGCTGTGCTATTCCCCGGCCTGCTTGAAGGCAGGCTGCTGCTGGTGTCCCCAGGAAGAGAAGAGCTAAGTGCCCCCCTGCTTCTCCCAGCACCTAGGCCCTTTGGTAGCCTTGGGGCATCTTAGGCTTAACTCCTTACTGAGAGGCTCTGCACAGGCCCAGGATGTGGGGTGTTGTTTGGTGATGAGGTTGTGAGTTAGGAGTAGTGGTGACTTCTGATGAGTTTTGGATACAGCCGGGGGTAAAATAACAGACCTCCCAGGGGTGGTTGGGGTGGTTTAGTGCCCTTGGCCAGAAACACCTGCGGGCCACCTGGCGTTGGGTATGAGGCAGAGGTGGGCTGGCAGATCCTTGCTGGACTGGGTGTCGGGCTGCCACCTCTAGTTCCTGTCTCATCCCGCTTGTCCCACTTCCAGATGCCCAGATAAGAAGTAACCCTTGGAGCTTTAGGAGGAAAGGATGCTAGGTCAGGCCCCCAGACCTGTGGCTGCTTGTTCAGAAACCAGGGGAACACAGCAGACTCATGTGACATCTGCAGGGCCATGTGGCTGATGCGGAGGGAGGCCGTGGTTGGTAGTCAGGGCCTCGGACGGACGAGGACTAGTGTGGACTAGTGTGTGTTTGCTGTGCTTGAGGGGTGGGGAGCCGGAGGGGACAAGCCGGACACAGAATGTTCTGGCCGTACCTCGTGCTGGTGACACAGCAGCAGGGAGCACCGAGGGGCGGTAGTGAGTTCAGGAGGGTGCAGCCGGGGGGGAGGGCTGGACTGCAGGGGGAGGCAGGGGCGGCCTGGAGAGCGGGGCCAGCAGGTGAAAGGAGCGCTGTCCCCGGCCACGGGCCACAGAGCTTGCCTGCACGGTGTGGCACGTTCCTCTCCTTACCGGTGGGTGAGCGCACACACTCGTTCTTCACACCTGTCCAGGACACATGGCCAGTTTTCAGGAACTTGGAGGATGTCTTAGCAAGGGGGCTCCTGGGAGGGCAGGAGAAAGAAGCGTGTGTCAACATCAGCTCTGCTCAGGGTCGCTGTCATCGATGCTGGGTCCCTAGGCCTCTCGGGCCCCATTTCTCCTCTGAGGTTCAGGTGGGGCTGGACCATCCCCGAGGGTCTTACCAGCCCTGTTGCTCTGTGACCTGCAGTCCGGTATGTTTCCAGATGCTTGCCCCATTCTCTTACTGGTTCCTTGAAGCCCCCATGGCTGACCCAGGTGAAGCCGAAGCTCCTGCCCCTCCCTTTGCACTGGCAGCTCCATGCCTGAGCGCCTGGCCCTGCTGCCCCACCTTGTGATGCAGACCTCCTGGACGGCACCTCTCCACTCCCAGGCTCACCCTCCGCTGGGCTGTGCTGGCCCCTTGAGGGTGTCTCTCTGGGTGCAGCCCCTGCAGGGGCAGGTCCTGCTGTCGGAAAATGCCCAGCACATAGCGCTGTCCCAGCGGAGAGAGCCAGCTGTCGTGCTCCTGCTGATAACAAGTCTAAAACCTCGTGCCCATGCCCTGCACTGTGCCTGGACCTCTGAGCATGGCCACCCCCTGCGTCGGTCTAGGCTTGCCTGCTGGCCTCCGTTGTCACAGGGGCCTCCTCCACCTGACACCCTTGGGGGGGGCAGGTCTCACTGGCTGTGCTTTTGGGTGACACAGCTTGTCTTCGCTCTCCCCTATCCACCCCCACACCCCTGTTTTAGGTGCCTTGAAGGGAGGGACCCTATCCTAGACCAGAGGTGGCTTCTTTGTGTCCCTGTTGCCTGCCCACTCCACAGGTGGCCCGGAGTGGGTAGCCCTAGTCACGGAGCTGACCTCCATCCTCAGTGGTCAGTGTCTTCGTGCTGGAAGGGTCCATGGTATTCTAGACCTAGGCGCGCGTACCTTCCTCTACAGCGAAATCGCCGGCTGTGCTTGCTTTCTGATAACTGAGTGGAACCACTTCTTAACGTAAATTTTTGTTTTTCCAACAAAGAATTTTTCTCTTTTAGTGACAGCTCTAGGTAAAAGTTCTCATGAAACCAGGGGTATTGTCATTATTAGATTACTCGTTTATTCTTGAAGCCATTCAAACAAAAATTAGACCATGTTTGGTAACTTAAATTCTGTTAGATTGTTCTCTGCTCTCTCTTGTGATTTCTCTCTTTTAGGGCTGCATACCTGAGCACCACACGCTGTGTGATGTAGTTGAACCACAGATTTGGCTCGCCGAGGGAGTTTTCAACACTCTTACCCAAATGTGATTGGGCGCAACCACTGTTCTACGTGAGGGCTTAGGGGTAGAAAGCCGCTCCCTTCCCCCGAGAACGCGCAGGCTTTGGGCTCCATGGTGATCCTCCGCACTACCGGGTCCTCCACACGGTCTGGAGGTGTTGTTCCCGTTGCAGGTGGGGAGGTGAGGGCTGAATGTCGGAGTCTGCAGTCACAAGAGACCGTGTTAGTGATTCGGGACCTCGTGTGGCCCGTCTCTCCACCCCGCCATCCGCAGTCCTGGGAGGAAGCATAACTTGTTTCAAGTGCATTACACGTTAGCTCGGGGCTGAGAGGACGTTCAGCACGCCGCCGCTTGTTCCAGAGGAGTGTGAGGAGAACAGAGCGTGGCCTTGGAAGATGAAGGGGGTGGGAGTCAAGGTCCCCGAACCGGATCTTGCGGGGCCCTGTGGTGGGCGAGGCTGCGCTCCGCAGGTGCTCAGTCCCTCCCGCCCACCTGGCTCTGCAGAGCCCTGTGCCCAGCCGTCTCCCTGAGCTGGTCCCTTGCTGGGGAGGACTTGTGTGTCACCCACGTGTCACTGCGCGGTGGCTGGCTTTGTTCTGAGCTTGCTTCCAGTTCCTATTGAGTTGCGAGCTACTGTGTTACACATAAAAAGACCCCCGCAGGTGAAGTGAAGGGTAAGTGCCATCTGAAGTCAGTCGGGGAATTAGCAGCACAAACAGGCCGCACGCCCACCCAGCCTGGCGCTTGGGGGCCGGCCGCTGATGGCAGGGCCCGCTATCCCCTCACCGCGCTGCTCTTGGCTACCTAGGCTACTTAACTGTCTTCCAGGAAATTAAGTTTAAATCAGATTGAAGCTATGATGTTCCTTGTTCTTTTCCATCCCGACAATTATCTTTAAATCTCTCCTTTTAATTAACTCAATTTTCCAGGCCTTTGTGTAGGCCGGGTGGTTTGTTTGTGGAGGGCCTGGCGCCGTGCCCCCGATCGGGAGACAGGGCTGCAGCTCTGCCCTTCTAGGCTGGGCGGCCCCAGGACGGGTGGGGTAACAAGGGCTTGGCTGCCCAGCCTTGGCACGGCGCTCACGGTGCGCAGTGCAGGGCAAGGGCCCCGCCTCCTCCCCGGCAGCCAGGGGCAGCTTGCTACCCTCTGGCTGAAGCAGCTTCTGTTTTTTTTTTCTTTCTAGAACTGCTTCTTTGGCAGCTTTCACTTCTCCTGTAGGCGAGTCTTAAGCTAATATTTATCCTGCAAAGTATCTTAAAAATGCTGGAGGGCGAGTATTTGTGGAGAACTTTATCAATCTTTGAAAGAGCATTATTGTTACGTTGATAAACTGAGGCACTATTTACAACAGGCAGATTGTGTTTGAACTTGCAACCTTAGTCCAACAGCTAGTTTTTGTTAACAGATGGAATTGTTTTGGCTGTTCTTGTAAAGAGGTCTTTATCCGTGTGGTTTTTGTTTGTTGCTGGTGAGCGGTTGGCCTGTGCTGGGGGAGGGGAGACCTGGGCGGCTGAGTCTGTAATACGTTCAGGTGTTAACTCATTTTATGAGCCACAGGCTTTTCAGGAATGTGGACTTTGGTGCTTGAAGCCCTGCCTCTTCATGATTGTCTCTTTAAAACTGGAGGTGCCTCCTTCTGAGGGGACAGTGGCCTCACCATGAGCAAGACCATGGGGACAGGTGGTATTGTTTGCGCGGTCAGGAGATTTCAGATCTGAAGGAGAACAACACTGAGAGTGAACTTGTTCCTTAAAAACTAAAGTAAAATCTTTCTGGGGGGGGGGGGTTACTTTTCAGTAAAAGGAGCCACTTCCTGGATCTTCTTCTGAACCCGTTTCCTCCACCAGGCAGCCCTCTTTGACCCTCTTTGATTCTTGGGTGAGTGAAATGCCTCCTGGTGCGTTGGGGGTGGAGGGGCCCGGCTCCCCCAGGGCTGCATGTTCCCTGGCCCCCGGCCTGGTGCTAAGGGTGTCGGGTACCAGCGGTGGGGGCCGGCGCGGGCTTGGGCAGGAGGAGGTGGGAAGCAGTGCCCGAGAAGTCTAGGTCCTGCAGAATGTCACAGTGATTCAGCCGTGGCTGGTGGGGGCTGGCCAGAACTGGAGACAGATGCCTTTCCCTGGGGCTGGGGGAGCCCAGGTGAGGGCGTCAGGCCGGGAGGGGCTTGTGCACCTGGCCTTGGCGGGGGGGGGGCTGCCCTGGAGGTGGTGAAATGTGCGGGGGGAGGGGGGTGCCTAGCAGAGGTCGCAGTGGCGCCTGTGAAGTCTTGTTTGTGCCCTGCGGGGAACATCCGCACTTCCTCCTTGGTCAGCTGACTCATCTCCTGCTGACTTGCTGTTTCTCCTCTGTCTGCTGGTCTCCATCTGTTTGTGTTTCTCTGTCTCTGTGTGTCTGTGTATCTCCGCCTTCCCGCCTCCCTCCTGACTCATGCCCTGAGCTGGGCCGTGCTGGGGCGGGGGGTGGTGTGTCCTGGGTCCTCCTGCTGCGCCCACACCGCGGCGTGGGTTTGCAGCCCCATCCGCCCCGGCGCCCATAGGCTTCAAATGTGTCAAAGAGCGGTGGTTGGCTGAATTGTTGGGGATGCACTGAGTACCTGCGGGCAGAAACCCCACTGCCTTCCTGATTGGACTTTCCAGGTCATTTCTAGATAAGTTCCTCCTACTACATTATTTACTTATATTTTCGCGAAATACACCTAACATAAAATGTACCATCAGAACCATCTTTAAGGGTACGTACGGTTCCAGCGGCGTTAGGTTCGCATTCACCACGTAGCGCTCCATTGCTGCCCTCCGTCTGCAGGACTTCTGCGTCTTCCCAAAAGGAAACTCTGTCCTCGTTTATTTTTAATGCATCTGAAAATCCGCCATAGCCAGTAAGGGTCCTGTGGTGGGTGCTGCTGCCGTCCAGTGTCAGGGCTGTTGGAATCCAAGTCCCCGGGCTGGCCGGAGGGAGGTGCGGGGCTATGTGCAACGGAGCTGATGTCGGGTGGCCTCGGGTGGAAAGCGCTCTATGAAGGGCAGTGACTTTTTCTTGTGAATGGCCATTTATCTCCAGTAGATGTAAAACCTAACCTGTTTAACCCCGTTGGTTTCGCACCTGTGGTGTCAGTCTGTGGTAGCGCACTCAGGTCCTGCTGTCGGGCTGAGTTTATGGAAAGCAAGTGTCATCCATTTATGTAGCTGAGAACTGCATTGTGCCCAGAGTAGTTTAGTTTTAATTATGTCCCTGAGGCTTCAGTCTCACGACCTTCTGACAGGCTGAGTGGCCAGCTACTCTCCTTTGGGGGAAGGCGGTGGTCTCCGCCCGCGGCCTCCTGCTGCGAACATTCCAGTCATTCATTATCTGACTTGGGTCAGCGTCAGGTGGAGCTTGCCCATCTCCCAGGTTGGCGAAGGGGGAGGCTGAGGGCCAGATTGGGCTTCCTATGTGTGGATTTACCCTGTGTGTGTGTGTGTGTGGGGGGAGGGTGGTACGCTTGGCTCCGTTGGCCCTCACTTGCACTGCAGGGACTCTGGGGTTTCTCCCTCGCTCAGGGAGGCCTGGGCTTGATCTGGTGCTGTGTTTTTGGCCGTGTTCTCTGCACTGGCTGGAGGCAGCCTTCTGCTGGCTCACAGATGGTAATCCGGTCCTGGAGGGCAGTGCTGAGAGCCCCCGGGGACGTCAGCACCCACAGATTAATGAGCGGGAAGGGTGCCCATTGGTGTTGTCAGCTGAGAAACACACATGAGGCTTTCAGCCTTGGGAGCCCAGTGCTGTCTGGGTCGCAGGCAGGGAAGGATGCTGTACATCACCTGGACAAGATTAGAGTTTCCTAACCCCACGTGGGCCTATTTCAGACCTTGATGCAGGGCTTCTCTGTCTTGTCTCTTAACCCAGAAAGAAGAGGAAAGAGCCATTGACTCCTTTCTCCTTGATGGGCACAGGGCCTGGTAGGCTGACCCGGGAGTACCCTTAAGTGGGAGAATCTGTGATGAACAGAGCAGGTGGCATTGTTAGGGGTGGGTGCTTGACTTAAGTCCAGTGGGGAGAAGACTAAGTCCAGCGGCGGGGTGGGGGGGCAGTAGGTGCTGTGGACTGGGAAGCCATGTGATTGTGTTTGGGAACTGGGGTGGATGCCTAGTGAAGAGCCAGCTAGGGGTCCCGTAGGAATGAATAGCCTCCATGCACCAAAACATGTGGGACAGGCCTGCTGCTTCCTGGGGTGGGGTTAGCGCACAGTCCGTGTCTCTCTGACGTCGAGGGTGGACTGGGAGCAGCTTCTGAGATGGTTCCTGGTAATCAGCTCTGAATCTGTACTAATTAAGGGGACCTGCCAGTAGCTCTGCATCCGTAGACGGCTCTTCAGAACTGCCTCTGTTGGCACATCTGGGCCGCGTGAGATTTGACTTTGTGATTGCAAAACACTTGAATGTCTGCCACACGCCAGGATCTTATTCTGCATTTGGAGAGGACCACTAGGAAAATTTATTTTTATTTATTTATTTTATTATTTTATTTTTTTAAAGATTTTATTTATTTGACAGAGAGAGACAGCGAGAGAGGGAACACAAGCAGGGGGAGTGGGAGAGGGAGAAGCAGGCTTCCCGC